AAATAAAACTGTTGCAACTTTATCTCAGGTAGGTCACATTAAACAATCCCCAGCTGCAGGCAGAGTTATAACTAGGCAAATTAGCTCCCCTTCATAAGAAGCATTAGTGTGTAGATGGGAGACTGTAGTGGGCAGACAGTTACAGAGATGTGAGGACAGAAGCAAGAAGCAGGCAATAAACAGAAACTGAATCTGGAATCCATCACTCTTACCCAAACCAATCCACCTATTTGACACCAATCTTCCCATCAAAGCCTGCCCCCCTCCTGTCAATGCCTGCCCCTCTTCTGATCATGATAACACCTGCTCCCTCCCCAACTTCACTCCCACCATCTAATGCTCCTTTTTTATCTGCTCTAGGCTACTTACACAGGCAGCTCTCTTTGCCTGGAACCTCTGCCGCCCGCCCTGTCACCACCATTCAGCCTGTATTCTACTTCCTGGAGAACACTGTACTCCATCAGATTCCATGCTGCATACATTAATGTCACCACCACCATTTCCTCCCAGACCCATGTATCACTGTCCTGATCCCCCACTAAAGTTGGCACTCCACACTGGCAAGGACTGGGTTATATTGCTTCACAACTACATCCAGGCTCCAACATAGTGCTTGGCAGCTGAAAGGCTCTCACAATTATTTTTTTTCAAGGAATGATGATCTAAGACCTTCTCACTGTATTCTATCTATCCCCTACCACTGTGTTACCCCAGCTCTCACCTACCACAGATCCTGGTTACCCCAAGCTCCAGGTCAATGTGCTGACAGCAACTGCCAGCCTAATGCCCTAAAATTCCAGTAAGACTCTTCTCTGCTATCACCTATTGCTCACCCTGTCTTACAGCCTCTAGGTAGATCTCCAGTCCTTCCCTTCCCTCATAACACCAACAGAAAGAAACCAATTCCCCTTTGCCTCTTCACTGTCCCATGAGTCCCCTGGGATAAACCTTCCTCTTTTGTATGTTCTTAAAAGCCACATTCAAGACCTACTTGGTGAGACCCTCATGTCTTTTCTCCATCAGAGATCATGTTTGTAAATTTAGCTGCTTTCTTAGGATTCCATGCATGTTTCTTTCCCGCCCCTAGTGTCAGGAAAGGAAGATACTGACATTTACTGAACACTATGGAGTATCAGACACCACAGGAGATGCAGATTGACTAGATGCCTACCAAGTTGTTAGAACTTCCACTAACTGCCTCACTCTTCTTTGTGGGCAACTTCTCTTTGCTTTTATTTATTTATTTTGTACTAGGGATTAAAATCTGCCAATTTGTGCTATGCCTTCAGTCCTTTTGTTGTTTATGAGATAGGGTCTATTTAACTCTGCCTAGGCTTAACCTAAACTCATAATTCTGTTTCCACCTCCTGAGTAGCCAGGATTGCAAGCTTATCTAGCCATGCCCAGTCAATTTGTAGGAAGATTACATTATAGTCTTATACTATATTTCTTCCTAACAAAATAATAAAGACAAAATAGAGTAATCAAAAAAAATAAAAATAGCTTCACTTTCCTTCCCTTTCCTTCCCAAACTAATAATCCCAAAATGCCTTTCTGTGTCTTATTTATCCATTCCATATGTGAAATTGAAAAGAAAAAAAAAAAGACACCATCACCAGGCACCACTGACTCATGGCTGTAATCCTAGCTACTCAGGAGGCTGAGACCTAAGGATCACAGTTCAAAGACAGCGTAGGCAGGAAAGTGTGAGACTCTTAACTCCCAATTAACCACACACACACACACACACACACACACACACAAAACTACCACCACCACCACTCCCTGGAGGGGGGGGCGGGTGGAGAACAGAAATAGAACACTAGCCTTGAGCAAAAAAATTTTAGGAACAGTACCCAGGCTCTGAGTTCAAGCTCCAGGACTGGCATCAAAAAACAAACAAAAACCTATCTCATGGAGGCTCGGGAATGTATGTGGCTCAGACTAGATTAACCACTGACACAGTCTCCAAGCTAGAAAACTAGGCCCCCCTCCATTATCTAGATGGAAGCTTTCAAGGTTAAATACTTGCTGTCAAGCTGCATTTAACATAGTTACTATCCTGGCTCCCAGAAATCCTTCTCATCACCCTTTATACAATTTCCCACATAAGAGGAAACTAGCTTTTACTATGGAAAAAATTTTAAACCTTATCCTTGCATGCACTAACACATCTAAAAATACCAGAATCCTATGGTAATAGATACACGTGTGGATAGGCTACATTCCTACCCAATTGTCTTAGTGGGGAGTCTAAGATACCTTAGTAATCATGCAGCAGAGCTTTGAAATGAACCAGGCAGGTAGTCTAAGTAATGTGTGTATTGTGCTGGACATAAAATCCAGGGCCTCATAAGTCCTAAGTAAATGCTTTACCACTGAGCTAACCACCAACCTCCTAAGCGACTGTTGCTCATGGTTTTTTGGTTGAGAATGTTCAGAAAACTAGAATTTAGCTCATAAGCTAAATCCATAGCTCATAAGCCATAGATTCCACTCAGAGAAGGAAATTTTGTTGGATATGTGTGGGAGGGAACAGTATATTTTGTCATCACTTTGTTACCTCAACCTCAGGCATAAGGTGTAAAAATAACCCTTCAAGAAGGTATAAAAACATACTAGGAAGACCAAAGCTCAGTTGCCTTGTGTTCTGGTCTTCAGAAAGCCCATAGCAGCCAAGTCAATAATTACTAAAGTGAAGAGCATGAGAAAACCTCATGGAAGGCTCTGAAAACCATATGAATCTGTCACATAAAATCATCACCACTCCCCAGGAACTAATCCCTGTATCCGTATCAAGTTTTCTATGATGCCAGATGGGAAATATTGTAAAAACAAATTGATTTATAATAAAACTTTCCCCTTAAACTTTTTTTCAGTAATGCAAGGTGCAGGTAGTTGAGAATGTGCACCTGTTTCAGTAGCTTTGATTTTTATATATTCAGGGGTTGGGAAGGTGGCTCAGTGGTAGAGTGCTTGCCTTGCATGCCTGAGGCCTTGGGTTCCATTCCTCAGCACCACATAAGTAAAAAGAAAAAAGCCGGAAGTGGCACTGTGGCTCAAGTGGTAGAGCGCTAGCCTTGAGCTGAAGAGCTGAGGGACAGTGCCCAGGCCCAGAGTTCAGGCCCCATGACCGGACCCAAAAAAAAAAAAGAGTGCAAGGCAAGCACTGATTTTTATATATTCAGAAAATGTCATTTCAGTATGAAAAAAATACTGCTCTTTTGAAAATAACCTTTTTTAAAAATTAAGGGTTCCTAGGGGAGTGAGTGCTCATGTTTACTCTTAAACACAACTAACCCAATATTTAATATGATACTTAAAAGTCAGGTAACTTTACTTTCTCTCTTTGAATGGGGAAATGACCACATTTTCTAGTAGGATGAATATTCAAAGTTTTTTTTTTCTGTTTCAAATTCTTTATTATACATCATGGTTGCACAATTTGAGGTTGGTTAAATACAATTGGTTTTCAAAATCTTGAATATTTTCTAGATTACTACATGCAAGTGACCATGAAAATATTTGGCATTTTAAAATTTTGAAACTGAACAGGCACTTACATGAAAGATAACATTACCATTTACAGATGCTCCAGCACATGGTACATGGAACCTCTGGCCAGTAAAGAAGTTGGTTACTGACTTATCAAAGTGCCATACTAGTAAATTAGGCTTCAAGAAATGTAATTTGCATTAGTTTACTCATAAGGTAACGTTAACCAACAACTTGCATTGAAGTATATTAAAAAATATTGGTACAAAAACCAATGAACTTTATTAAGTGAAAGAAGTTTTCACATAGCAGGTCTTGTTTTGGTTCCCAAAGTCCACATGTAGTGTATTTGCCACCAGACCCCATGCATTTGAACAGATGATTGCAATCTTTTCTATAGATATTGAATTTGGTGTTTAAGAAAAATAGGTATAGGGTGAAGTTTAAATGACTTTGAACTAGCCAAAGATCCACATAACATACATAAAATTGTCCAAGTCTAGATAACTATACATGTTATCACAGGACCTTCTGAGTCCACCAACCCTGATTTTCTGCTGAAAAGTGAATATGTCTATAAAATCAAGAAAATGGTATTTGCATACACATGGCAAAAATATTCCTTAAATTAAAAAATATACGTTTCAAAGAATTTATGGAAAAATTTACATCGTTTTAGTAAGTTCTAATATGCCAACATATATCACCTCTACATCGCAACAACTGTGGTACTGCTGGAGAGTAGCAGAATTGCTACTTAATATGGGGGCAAAGAGTGCCACAATGACATGTCACAAAAAAAAATTTAATAGTCATATTGCAGAAGACTCTGGAAAGATAAAATGCAAGATGCCATGAAATGGTAGGCCCAAAAATATCTACAGTGACACATCCCATATACATTTCTGAAATGCATATGTAAAAATACAATTCTCAAGTATTGGAAGGCATGTTTTAAAACTGTAAACTGTAAGGGCTATTCAGATTTTCTAATTGTATTTGAACACACAAATGTTAATTTTTTGCATGAAGAGAATAAGAGGTAATTATTAGTATGAAAAAGGAGGCATTAAAATCAACATTATTCAGAAAGAAAGCAAAATTTACAAATATCAGCCTGCTCACATGGAAATCCTTAAATGTCTATGCTGACACATATCTGAGTGCTTATCAGTATGCAGTAAAAAAAAAAAAAAGGCAGCTTAAGAAATCTCCAGTGTTTCAAAGCACTTTTTAAAAGGTATATAATACATGAAAAACATTTAGTTATACTATATAATAAATGAAGCATTGTAAGATAAAAGAAAGACTATTATATGTGGAATTTTGGCCTTTTTCCTGCTACAAGCTGCAACCATCTTGAACCTGCTCAACTTAAAGGTTACAGCTTTTTGTTGTTCTTGTTTCCTCCTATTCAGCTCACATTTCAGGCTGTTCAGCAAATGTCTGTGATTCTAGAAATTCAAATCGCTGGTGAAAGTTTGTTCTCTGTTTCCTCGGTTTTTTCAGGAGCTTTTCTCCATAAAATAATCTCCTGCTTCTAGAAGTACCTTCTGTCTTCCTCATCAACAAGCACTAGGCTCAAAAAATACCTTACTGAAAATTTTTTATTCACATCTCTCATTGTTTGAGTTGGGTCATACCCCGTTAAAAACAATCTTATTGGAATTGATTCACCTTTAACTGGTGCACCATCCATTATTTCATATTTGGCAACTGTTTCTGTAGTGGTACTGAGTCCTATTCCTGTGATCTCTTCTTTTTTTTTTTTTTTTTTGGTTCCGGTCATGGGCCTGAACTCTGGGCCTGGGCAACTGTCCCTCAGCTCTTCACCTCAAGGCTAGTGCTCTACCACTTGAGCCACAGCACCACTTCCAGCTTTTTTTTTTGCTTATGTGGTGCTGAGGAATCGAACCCAGGCCTCAGGCATGCAAGGCAAGCGCTCTACCACTGAACCACCTTCCCAACCCCTGTGATCTCTTTTTTGATTAGTTGTAATTCCATGTGCTATATTTTTATTCTTACTAATAGGAAGTAAATTTTTCCAACAATCACATCCTTTAAATGATACTTTGATTTATTATATTCAAACTTTATATGTAGAGAACCTTTAATACCCACTTCCATTTTAATGAAGTTGTTAACATCAGGATAGGTGGCAAGCTGGTGAACAGTAAGATCATACTCTTTCACCATATCTGTCAGTCTCCTCATTATTGTCACCTTAAGAAAATACCTCAAGTGGATACTGGCACCAATGTAAGACTCATATGGCTTTTCAACTTGCATAAATTCAAAATCACAACTTCTCTGATTCAGCTCTCCAGAAAGGGCTAGTTCTTCCAAATTCATGAGTTCAATTTGACCTACAAATTCAATTCTAATTTCTTGGTGTTCTAGCTTCTTTCCAGCTGGCTTAAAGGGTAGGTTTACCTTTCCTGAAACAGATTCTCCAACATAGAAGAGATAATATTTTCTACTTTGCCATCTTCTGTTTTCATTTCTGACACTGATCTCACTAAGGGGACTAAAAAAACCTCCAAGGGAACTTATTGGTGAAGCTGCTGCTTTCCCCCCCCCTCCCCATTTCACTCAGCTTCCCTCAAGAGAACTCCTGAACTGGTTCTGTCCACCAGGGTGCCCTGTCACATGACCCCCTCAAAGTTGTTTGTTTGTTTGTTTAACCTGAAAATATATAAGCAACTCCAAGTTTCTTCACCCCCTTTCACATAGGAAATTTGTGACCTAAGGTCACACTGATCAGCTATCAGTTTAGGATCTGATTTCCTTTGTCACTGTTTTTTGGGATAGCCATCATGCTTATATCAATACTGTGTTTCCATGACACTGTGGTTGGTAACTGTTGCCTCTGGGTGTGTGAAGGCTAGAAGGCCTGTGACTGTCCACACAAATGAGCCTGGAAGCAGATCCACCATCTCCAAATGAAAACACTTCAGGCATAACTTGGGTAATAGCTTCATCAGAAACCTTGAACTAAATCATATAGCTAAAGTGCTTCTAGATTCCTAACCTATTAAATGGTACACTGAAATCTTTTTTCTGATTTTCTACAAAGCAATAAGTAACTAATATAAGTACAAGATGGTTATAAATTGCTTCTAAGCTTATTAGTATCTACCCTATTTATTGTAAATATCCAAATGTTAAGTTTCAGAATATTAATATTTTGGGTTTAGAAGATATACCATCCCAAATCTGACTGGATAGGTTGACATATATATTCCATAATTCTATACTAGAATCTGAAAAGGTTTGAGTTTTGCAAACACTTGGTCTCAAGAGTTTCGGATAAGGCACTATGAACTTATAGTCCCACTATTTTTTATTAATTTCATGCTGGCATATAAATATAAGTAATTTTTTATCAAAATTTCTATGTATATGAAAATCTCTGCCACATAGTAAACATTCTGATTTTTTTGTCAGTTCTGGAGCTTGAACTTGGGTTTGGGCACTGTCCCTGAGCTTCTTTTGCTCAAGGCTAGCACTCTACCACTTGAGCCACAGTGCCACTTTTGGCTTTTTCTGTTCATGTGGTACTGAGAAATCAAACCCAGGGCTTCATGCATGCTAGTCAAGTACTCTACCACTAAGACACATTCCCAGCCCATATTCTGCTGTTTTTTAAGTGAATGTTGTCTCTCCATCTACAGATTAAATTTCCTATGGAATAAGCGTCTTTCAACTTCATTATCCTCACCAGAAATCCCGACAACCCTGGGTTCACAACAAACTCTAGATAAACTCTTATGCAAATCTGTGTCTACAATTACAGACACACAGCACTGGTACCCTCACACTTAAACCCTATTCGTCTTCAAAACTGCAGCAGAACATGAGGTCAAAACAGTGTCTGAAAGATAAAAGAAGGCCCCTGTAGGAATTATGAAAATTTTACATATCCTCCAAGTTCTCTTGTAAGCAGCAGCAAAAGCACAAAATAATCTGAAATAATCCAAATAATAGCTATCGGGGGAAAGATCTATTAGCCTCTTGATGATTGGCCCATCTGAGTCTTCAATGAAGAGTAATTTCACCTTTCTCACTCTGCTCTGTACCCTCCTGCAGGCAATAAAAAGGTTCACTAATCAGTTTTTAATTTTCTTTCCTGGAGAGATAGTTGTCCTGAAGCTATATACACTCAAGGTAAAAATCATTACAAAATAAAGCTCTAAAACCATGCCTTTAAATAAATTATTCTAGATCTTTTAAATAAATAAGCACTTTCAAAACCCAAAAAACAGAATGCCATGCAATAACTATTATTCTGAAAAGAAGCCCCACATAATCTCGTATGAAAATTTAAATGAAGGAAAGAAAAGACTTAACCCAGAAAGTCCTAACCATAAATCCAAATGCCAAGACGTCACAGTTATCAAGACAGACAATGGACCTAGGCAGACTTAATTTTAGAGAGGTGGCAGAAGAGGTTAGGAATACAGGAACACTTGGAACTAGTGGTGAACCTAAGCAATTTTCAATAAATTCTGACATCAGTTGCTACAATCAGCTCTCAGTACTTCCTTCCATGGAGAAAAGAAAATAAGCATGAGTGAGCAGTCAATAAAGAAGTAGGCAGATGGGGAGACCAGAAACAGGGTCTAGGCTCACATACTGGGTCCAGTCCCTCACTTGTAGGATATGAGGAAAGGATTAGATGACTGGAATCTAATTTTCTAAGTGAAATCCAATCAAGTGTAATTTATGTCCCCTTTTCCATAACCTCAACCCGGCATTCTGCTGTCTTTTCAGGGAGTTTCACTGGGCTGGATTAACTGAGCATAAGAGACCATGCACATGTTTGCTGGGCAAAAGAATGAATGGCATACAGAAGAAAAAAAAAAGCAATGGCAGCAGAAACAGATGGATAAAAGATTTTTGTGATGCTATGTCTCTATTCAGATTCTAGATGGTTGAGATACTCTTCATAAACAGAGCTTCAGTGGCCTGTACAGCTGCTGGGATTTTTCACATCTTTGGATAACTATGGACTTTAAAAATGTGCAATCCAGACAAGACTGTAAAGCTTGTATTATGCCAGTTTCAATACCACAAAGATTTGCTACAGTTACCCTTCCCCCCAGTCACAGGAATTTTAGTCCAATTCCACAAAGCTCTGTCTGTTCCCTAGGTTTTAACCTGCAATCCTACTAGAAATCCCTGAAGATAAGAGTTCAAATTGATGGGGGAGGCTGTGTGTGTGTTGAGAAGTAGTTTTCTAGCCATTGACATTATTTCCCTAGGGGAGAAAAAACACCAACAGCACATATCACCTTTCTCAGAACAAATCTCTAACAATTTCTCAGGTTATTTCAAGGTAACAAATGAAAAATACACATATAAATCACATTTACCTTCCCTAACCCCTTTGTTTATCAAAACTCCCAACTCAAAACTATTCATAAAACAAACACAGACAAGGGGATGGGATGTAGCACAGTGGCAAAGCGCTTGCCTAGCAAGTGCAAAATCCTGCGTTCACTCTCTAGTACCGAAAAAGAAAAGACCAAAACAAAAATCACAGGCAAATGCCCTTTTTAAAATCATCCAATAATTGATTTCCAAGAATAAATAAATAGCAATATACAAGGCTTTAAAACAGAAACAGTTTATTCAGGCACAGTTTCAAGTTATGAGAGCAATAGCATCAGAATGATTAAAATGACCCTTCAATTAGTCCTCTGCCAAACATTTACTGACCACCACCATGTGCTTGGCATTCTTTTAAGTGCTTGATGACATTAACAGTCCATGAAGACACAGTGTCACTCAGAGGTTTACAGACATTTTTCTAAAAATATTAACTGTTTTAAACTAGGAATATTACCTCTGCTAAAGTACATACAAACCTACCTTACAAGGACATAGGGAAAATAAACAAGCTATAGTAAGAGTCCTCGTAGATCAATGGAATAGAATTGAGAGTTTGGAAATAAACCCTCTTATTTATTGTTACTTGGGTGCCAGACAATCAGATGGGGAATAAACAGCTCTGTGACAACTGATTAACTTCATACAAAAGTATAAAGAATAGATCTGGGCTGGGAAGGTGGCTCAGTGGTAGAGCGCTTACCTTGCATACATGAAGTCCTGGGTTTGATTCCTCAGAACCACATAAGAAAAAAGAAAAAAGCCAGAAGTGGCGCTGTGGCTCAAGTGGTAGAGCGCTAGCCTTGAGCTGAAGAGCAGAGGGACAGCGCCCAGGCCCAGAGTTCAGGCCCCACAATTGGACCCCCGCCAAAAAAAAAAAGAATAGATCTAACTGTAAGACCCTGAAAGGGAACAAGAATTAATTTCATGCTTTGATATAACATCAACAAACAAACAAATAAGTAAACTGGGCTTCCTCAAAAATTGATCTTGGTTTTTTTAATTAAGAAAAATTTAAGCCAGGCACCTGTAGTTCATGCCTGTGATCCTAGCTACTCAGGAGGCTGAGATCTGAGGATCACAGTTCAAAGCCAGCCTGGGCAGGAAAGCCCATGAGACTCTTATCTCTAATAAACTATTCAGAAAAGCCAGAAGTGGCACTGTGGCTCAAGTGGTAGAGTGCTAGCCTTGGGCAGCAAGAGGCTCAGGGACAGTGTGCAGGCCCTGACTTGGAAGAGGAGGAGGAGGAGGAAGAAAAAGAAAAAAAAAAGTTAATTGTATTTGAATATTCATGTGACTCAAATACCTGATAAGACACTCATCTATGGTATGTTTTAAATATAACTTTTTCACAAATCAGGTAATGAGTACATTTCTTTTTTTTTTGTACAATGTTAACCCTTCCTTTGCTTCCCCCAGATTCCTCCTCCTGTTCCTGCCAACAAATTATATCGGTAATTTTCCACATAATGTATACTGAACAGCATAACTGTGTTTGTTCACCCTTCCTCCCTTTCTGTGTCTCTCTGGAATATATTTTTAAATTCTTGTACTCAATAATTTAAAAACCAATAAATCAGTTTTTGTTGTTTTTTTTGTTGGCCATGGGGCTTGAACTCAGGGCCTGGGTACTGTCCCTCTGTTCTTTTGCTCAAGTCTAGCATTCTACCACTTTGAGCCACAGTGCCACTTCCAGTTTTGTGAGTGGTATATTAAAGATTAGAGTTTCATGGACTTTACTGTCCTGGCTGGCTTCAAACCATGATCCTCAGATCTCAGCCTTCTGAGTAGCTAGGATTACAGGAATGAGCCAGTTTTTTGACTTGGCTGAGAATCTCAATGGACATCTCTCTATACAAATGGACAATCAGCACATGAAAAGATACTCAACCAGTAAAATGCAAATCTAAACAACTGTGAGATACCACTTTGCACCCAACAGGATGGTCATAATAAAAAAGATTATAAAAATTGTTAATGAGCTGGACTCCGGTGGCTCACACCTGTAATCCTAGCTACTGAGGAGGCTGAGATCTGAGGATCACAGTTCAAAGCCAGCCCAGGCAGGAAAATTCATGAGACTCTTATCTCCAATAAACTACCAGAAAACCAGAAGTGGCGCTGCGGCTCAAGCGGTAGCACGCTTGCCTTGAGCTGAAGAGCAGCAGGGACAGCACCCAGGCCCAGAGTTCAAGTCCCACAACGGACAAAAAACAAAAAATTGTGAATGAAAATGTTCAGGGGCTGGGAAGGTGGCTCAGTGGTAGAGCGCTTGCCTTGCATGCATGAGGCCCTGGGTTCGATTCCCCAGCACCACATAAGCAAAAAGAAAAAAAGCCGGAAGTGGTGCTGTGGTAGCACTCAAGGGGTAGAGTGCTAGCCTTGAGCTGAAGAGCTGAGGGACAGCACCCAGGCCCAGAGTTCAGGTCCCACAACCAGACCTTCCCCCTCCCCTGGCCCCCCCACCCAAAAAAAAAGAAAATTTTCAGAAATTGCAACCATTTCATTGCTGGTAAGAATGTAAACTGGTACAACCATTATAGAAAATGACTTGGCACTCCATAAACTGCTATATTTCCAATCCTAAAGAAACATGCAATTAGGAATTTGGAAAATTAGGAAACTGGGAAATTTAGCAAATTAGGGAAAATGTCTGCAGAAAAATCTGTACATGGCCGGGCGCTGGTGGCTCATGCCTGTAATTCTAGCTTCTCAAGAGGCTGAGATCTGAGGATCACAGTTCAAAGACAGCCCAGGCAAGGAAAGTCCATGAGATTCTTATAGCCAATAAACCATTAGAAAACTGGAAGTGGTGCTGTGGCTCAAGCGGTAGAGCACTCACCTTGAGCTGAAGGATAGTGCCCAAGCCCAGAGTTCAAGCCCCACGACCGACCAAAAAAAAAAAAATCTGTACATGAATCTTCATAACATTATTTAGAATTTAAAATCACCAAAATGTAAGCATGAGCCAAAAGTCCATCAACTCATGAAAGTTGATTATAAATACACTATACCCATACCATAGAGTATTAAATATACAGCTATAAAAAGACATGAAGCATTAATGTATGCTATATTATGAAATGAATCTTATAAACATTATACTAAGTCAAAGCTGGTCACAAAAGAACATATATTATATGAATCCACCATGAAATATCCAGACTACGCAAATCATGTGGGGAGGAGGCTGATGTGAGGAGTTAGAAGGAAATGCAGAGTGGACTGTTAATGTTTGAAAATTCATTGTGGTGTTGGTCTCAATTCTGAATACATGGGAAACCCATGGAATTGTATACTATAAAAGAGTGAATTGCCTAGTATATCATTTATATATCTCAAGCTGCATAAGCAGTTGAGTCAAACTTGTGTGTTATATGTTCTGAAAAAGCAAAAAGGAATGCTTCAGATTCATTAGCATATGTCCATAAAGAGGTCATTTTTCTCATTCCAATTAATTTAGCCAGTCAACATTAATTCTTTGATGTCTACCATTTCTTAGTAACTGGGCATGACAAGGAATCTCATAAGAAATATCTAGTCCCCTTCCTCAAGGATTTCCATACAATTGCCACTTGTAAGGCATAAAGCTACAGGCTTCATGTATAGCATCTCAAAATATGGTGAAAAGACTAACCATAATTTTACAAATAAGGAAAAACACTCAAAAAGTTAACTTGCCTGTGTTTACAGTGCTAACCAAAGGAAGGGAGATTAAAAGCCAGATGAACTATGGGTAAAGCCTGTCCTCTGCACCCCACTAAGCCCCACTTCCAGGAAGAGGTAGGCAGGAAACCATAGAAACTACTATATGGAGGACAGGCTTAGTTAAGTTTGGAAGAATGACCATAGCAATGAGGAAATAAATTCAGATTTTGCTTGGGATGCTAAAAGTATGTGAAAATTTAAGGATCCTGGCCCAAAGGAGAAAGCAGGCATACTGTTGGTGGCCACAACACCCACAATCCCCTACTCCTCTCCTTATTCAGCTCCTCTCCAGAGCAGCCACTGGCTATTGGGAAACTGATTCCAGCCCTACCCAACTCCCAGAAGGATCCTTGATGTAAGGATGATCTTGTTACCATGATGACTCGAAAACAATCATTCAGACCAAAGGGCACATAGAAAAGTCTGCTGCAAGACTTTTGGAGAAAGCAGGACTACCTATATTCCTATGTAGCACATTACCATATATGAATGTCATCTTGTCTCAGAACCCTCTGACCATCCTCTACAGTCTGCAGACTGCAGTGACTCCCATGATGGCAGAGAAAGGGAGAGATGGGAGAAGCAGGGCCTTGACATCATGTACCTGCCCTGAGTGTTGTCTTGGCCCCTGGAATCCCTGACAGGTTAGCTGATAAATTTCTTCACACTGAGGCAGCTTGCAATGGGATCTCCATAGGAGACCAAAACATTTTAATCAACAGAGAGTGTGGTATCATTCACCAACATCCACTAAACTAGGGGTAGCAGGTTTGGAAGGAGCAGAGGGATAAGGACTGGGGCTTAGGTATCTACTGTGGTATCCAGGAAGCAATAAGAAATACACATAATGAAGGTAATGAGAAGGAAGCCAAAACTGAGGAGATAGATTGTGGTGCACATCTTATAGATGTGGGGTTTCACATTCCAGCAGGAGTTGAGGCAATGTTACTGGATCCACTGCTGGAACATGATAAAAGGAGACCACACAGCAGCCCAATAAGGAGGCCAAGTGGGTGTGAAGGCCACACTAAGAGCCGTGAGATCGGAGGAGAAAAAAAAAAAATTCTGACAAGGACCACTACAGACAACAGAGGCTCAAGACTGCTTCTCAAACTTTGATAGTGGGATCCGAACAACTTAAATACACAAATGGCACCTGTGGGCTAGCTCAGGAACCTGAACTTCAGTCACATCACTGCTCATGTAAAAGACAGATTGCAAACAATTTCAACCACCTTCCGGAAAGCCATGCCCACAAAACTGGAAATTCAGTTGGTTGGTTGGTTGGTGTCAACATTGCATACTTGATGAACACTAGCATCGGAGGACACAAAGCCCCCAGTCTGACAGACCAACAATGAGAATACTTTTACATGATCCCTCTCCGGTCTATATCACAGTCTATTAGTGGACAGAAATAACACCTATTCCACTTGTCCTGCCTAACCTTGAACTCTTTACCCCTTTCCTCTCCTGTTGCTCCCAACTTCCATTACATGCAATGCCTGTACTGGTACCTACCGAACACAGAAAGCAAAACTGAAAAAAACAGAAGACAAAAAGTAGAAATCAACAAGAAGATACACACCCTGCCCCACCACCTCCCCTTTGTTTCACACTGCTGTGATGTGTTATCCTGCCACTCAGTCTTCTCTCTTTGATTCTTTAACAGTGAGGTGGATCTTTGCCTCTGACAGAGATCAGAATGAGGTCCTAGGGAGAATTTAAGCCCTCTGTCATGTGTTTCTACAGTTTGTCTTATGCTATAATTATTTTAAAAAATAAATAAATACATAAATAAACTGGAAATTCAGTCACTACCTGTGGTTTATGGTAGGCTCACAATGTATCCTTTCTAAATAATATGCTACCAGGCACCAATGGCTTGAGCCTGTAATCCTAGCTCCACAGGAGGCTGAGATCTGAGGATCAAAGTTCAAAGTCAATCCAGGCAGAAAAATCCAAAAGACTGTTAGCACCAAATAAACAGCAAAAAGTCAAAAGTAGAGGAATGGATCAAAGTGGTAGGACATCAACTGTGAGCAAAAAAGCCAAGCAAAAGCTCAAGGTCCTGAGTTCAAGCTCTAGTTCTAGCACAATAAACCATGTTCTACAGCCAGCCCTAAAATCATCCCTGCTGACCCTCCCTTCCCATCTGACCATTTGTTGTCTGGGTGAGCTATCACTGGCACTCCAGGTTAGCACTCCCACACTTTCCTTAACATATCAGTCTCCCCAACTAGGAAACAAGTTTCACGTTTGGAAAAGCAGCGTATCCTTTTAAGTCTTCAGTGATGATTAGGACATTTTCCAAAGGAGCCATTTAGCCCTTGGGAATCTCCTTACAAGAATGTTTAGTTACAGAGTAAGGAATTAACATAGACAACATTAAGAAAAAATAGCTGTTTCACTCTAAAAAAGAAAAGAAAAAACAGGAAATGGGTCAGGGAGCACAGGAATGTCATGCACATTTTCAAGAAGGGTACAAACTCTCTACATTGCAGTTGCAAGCTTTTTGAGTCACAAAGTAAACTGACTGGTTCCTGAACTCACACACCTAGTCTATACTACAACATGTGATAACAGGTGCCTTTTTAATCTTAACATGTGAAACTTGGAGACAAACTCATGATGCAGAAGCAAAGGCAGTTAGTCATTACAACCCCAAGCAAGCTGACCAGGAACAACATGTACAAGCTTTACCTGTGCTTAAAGGCTGGAGATAAAGCTCTGCCAAAGCAGTCAAAAGGAGAAGCAGGAGAGATACAACCAACCTGATCTGACTAACCAGGTTTACTACAGGCCTGTAGACAAATATACTTCAAAGTGAAAAACAAAATTTTTCATAAAAATAAAATATTCTATTAGTTTACTCTGGCATTTTTGTAATGTAGCAGGTGCCTTAACTAAGATGTGTATGAAACATAGATGAGCACTTAATTCTACTTCCTAGCTGCTCAGCTGAATATGTGTTTAAGGAAAAACAAAGGATACAACAAGGCTCAAGAGCATCTGGAATGTTTGATAAACTCCACAGCTGTGCAAGCAGGAGGGAAAGTCCTTTTGGCAGATAGGTATAGATAAACCAGGTAGGGTGCTGAACCAAACAAAAAATGACATTTGGACTTTATCTCTAGACCAGAACGAGCCACTACCAGAATGGATAAACAGGAAAGACTCTCATATTAAAGAATTACCTGGCCCTATGGTCTGGGATAAAACATGACACATTCCAAAACGTGTGGGGGAGGGGGGTTGGAAACAGGCACAGGGATAGGGATCACTTTTTCATCTTGTAAATATCTTAACAAACCAAACCAATGTCCACAGGCCTAATCAGAAGTTAGTCTGGACTTTTGCCCATTCAATTTAGATTTAACCTTATTTATCCCACTCATGCTGAAAACATTGCATTCATTTGACTTTAGTTCAAACTTAGTTCAACCTTATAGAATTAAAGAGTAGACAGACATAATGACTGGGCTACAAAAAGTCTGGTTCATCATCAATCAAGAACATTATAAGCCCCTGGAGAAAGGGAGTCATCAGCTGTTCCAGGTAACTAATCTTTCTCCCTTAGTGTTTAAATTATATTCAAGTCATGGATAATAAAAGTCATTTCAGTAACCTTTCAAGAAAAAAATCTTTATGAAATACTGAGGTATTTATGCAGCCTCAACTGGGATGTCACATACGAATTTTAGAAAGCTGGTGCAGCCAGTTACATCTGACTTTCTAACCTATGAAGACCATCGGTCCACTTCCATTAATAGAAATGCTACTGCACATTACTCCTACTTCAGGTCTCTAAGTCTAAGTTATGTGTTTGATACAAAAAGACACAGGTATTCATATATACGTCTAATATATGAAAAGCTACTGCTTTTCACTTTCCCCTCAATCTTCTGAGATGTCTTCTGTGCCAATTCAAATGCAATGAAAATTACAATTCTTTTCAAGTGAGATGCCTATGGTCTAAAACCTCACCTTGTAATTATTTTTCTGGCTTACTAGGAAATTACTGACCAAAGGATCAAAACTGACTCACAGTAATTCTCAAACCTTGGGATGGTTAGGAGGTAACATTATTTAACTGCTAATGCACACATTGTATGTTTTGACTGGGTAAACTGAACAACATATCTCAAAGCCCTTAAAAATGTTAGTGGAGATTCTATCTTAATGCCATATTAATTCATTAATTCAGCCGACATACCTAGAGAAAAAACTAGAACCTTTATGTTTACTAAGGTCCAAAAGCTTGATGAGTGAAAACATGACTCTCATATTTGCAACAGCAAGTCTGAGGCCTAAATTTATAATCACACCTTGTGACTTTTTTTCCCTGATAACCTTTATGCTAGCCAAATAAAATCTAGAAAAGTAGTATGACTCACCAAGTTTATGTTCCTAAAAGAGCATAAAGAAAGATCTCTATTCTGGCTCAGAGAATTACAAAAGGCCTAACAAAAATGTCCTAGAACAAACATTACTCAAAAAAAATCGAGACCAACCACAGCAGAAATTCTTAAGTTGAATAAACAATAGAGATAGCAGCAGAGAACAAACAGCTAAAGGCCATTGTGAGAGCGCAACACACTACCAATAGTTTGCAGCTTATATAAACTTGGTCTTTTCAAATCTTGGATAGGGCTCAAACAATGAACTGCGGGGAAAGACTTCCTGCTTGTCAAATGAAGCTCCATCCAAGGCAAGAATGCAAATACCTATGTAATACTGACACAAAAATACTATAGTTTATTTTGCGGTTTGCTCAATAAAACGTTATTTTACATTTATATAATATTTATTTGAACATATAAGGTATGTGGTTATTATCATCAAGCTGAAATAATTTCAATGGCAACACATTGATTCTTTTTTCTAAAGTTGATGTAAAACTTTTACCTAAGTTTTAGATAATTACTTCATAACTAGCTTTTTAATGTGTGATAACAAATCCATGGAGTACTTTTCAAAATTGCACACATAAAAAAAATGTTTTGCCTAGCCTCTCTTCACTTCTACATTTTTTACCACAATTAAGCTTGGAACTCATAATGCATTTTTATATCAATACTACAAGCAAATTTGTTAGTTTTAAGTAATTCTTCAGCAACTATTTAGAAATTAGCAAAATTTTCTTTATTAGAGGATAAAATATGTGAATGATTTTAATGCAAAGTTGGCTGTTTCTATTTCTTTTGAGAATAGAAAAATAAGGAGGGTCATCTCAAAATAAATATTAAAAAACACTCAGAAAAATAAAAAGTGATACTTTTGTCTTAATTTCAGAGGAAAGATTTTGCTTACCTAAGTTTTTTTTGGGGGGGGGGTCTGGTAGTGGGGCCTAAACTCTGGGCCTGTGCACTGTCCCTCAGCTCTTCAGCTCAAGGCTAGTGCGCTAGCACTTGAGCCACAGCGCCACTTCTGGCTTTTTTCTTTTTTGCTTATGTAGTGCTGAAGAATCGAGCCAGGGCCTCATGCATGCAAGGCAAGCGCTCTATCCCCGAGCCACCTTCCCAGCCCTTGCCTAAGTTATTTTTACTGCTATTTTCAGAAAATATTTTACATGTTAGTAGAAGAATATAAAAAATAAAATGAAGCCAGGTACCCATGGCTCACGCCTGTAATCCTAGCTACTCAGGAGGCTGACATTTGAGAATAATGGTTCAAAGCCAGCCCATGCAGGAAAGTCCATGAGACTCTTATCTCCAACAAACCACTAAAAAACTGGAAGTGGCTTGTGGTTCAAACAGTATAGTGTTCGCCTTGAGCTAAAGAGTGCAGGGACAAAAGAAACATAGGTCCCATGGTTTCCCTTAATTGCAATATCTAGTATATCTATGAGTCAAGCGGAAAAGGTCAGATAATGTGATGTCAGGAAAATGTACCCTTAGATATGTATTTTAATGTTTTTTTCTTTCATGCATGTGTTTCTAATGCATTTATAAGATTATCTCTTTGTTGCTTTGTATGTCCCTCCCCCACAGTATAACCCTTGCTTTCACTATATTTGATGGCAGTATAACTTGAGGAGGAGATGGGGAAAAACCAGTTGTTTAAAGATACAGGTGGACCTGTTGCAACAATGAGAAGTACAAGTTGTCATGTCCAAAAAGAGCTTTACAAAGTCGTTGGGGGGGAGGGGGTGGAAGGGGGGGAAGGAGAAGGATTGGGATTGGGGGGGAGGGGGAAGGCTGGGAAGGGATGTGAAGGGTAAACAAAAGGAGGAGGCTGCAATGCTTGGTAAGAAATGTACGCATTATCCTGCCCATGTAATTGTAACCCCTCTGTTCAGTATGTTCACAAATAAAATAAAAAAAAATATTTTAGTCACCAAAAAAAAAAAAAAGAGTGCAGGGACAGCACCCAAGCCCAGAGTTCAAGCCCCATGACTGCCAATAAATAAATATATATATCAGGCACATGAAGTGAAAAATCAGTATTTTCTAGCAATATGTAATTATAGTTTCATGAAAATACAATATTCAAAATATATGCAAAAACATGTTTGCAGTAATAAGGTTATAAAGTTCAAAGTCAGTTTTTGCCTACCATTGATAAAAATTGTCACAATTTTCAATTGTTTTTCTTCTTATCCTTTCAGCATTTACAAGTGAATTTCCTGGTATAATAGCTTCAACTAGAATTAAATTTCTGTGCATTTTTTCAAGTTTAAAACTTTAGAAATAGTTTAACGTACTAAATTTCAGGTATACTGCCTGCAGGTCTGACTTTTCTGACTCAATACTTAGAAATTCCTGAAATTTTTCATCCAAATTTGCTCATTTTCTAAGATCTGAAGATGTAAGCATTTCTTTTCTGCATTCAAAGCAGTGTAAGGTCTCTCTTACTTTAGAAAGTACATAGCATTATCTTTGTTTTTAATTAGTAACAACCAAAATCATCCCAAAAGAAAACACATAATAGTAGCCATAGGCTATTAACTTTAAATCGTTTACTTTTTCACTCATGAACTAAAGGAGAAACTAATTTATCTATTTACAATAATATACAGTAGCTGTACCTATACATCATAATGCAAGAAAGTTAGGAAAATGTTTTTAATCAAAGGTCAAGTATACACAGAATAAAATACATGTATAATTAAATGTATTTGAATATCATCTATATGTGAGGTCCTTTTTCCCTACCTTCTATCCTTGATAATGTTTTAGTTTAGTGCATACAAGTATAGAGGCATTAACACATGCAACATGGCAGTTACAGAAAATATGGTTCTTCAGCAGACAACATCTGTGTTACACACATGGCCTTCAAAATAATCATAGCATGCTTTTGTGACACCAAAAGAGTCCAAGCTGGTGTGAAATGATTACTTCCAACCAAAGCCTGTTTAAATTATTGTTTAGTTATATGGCATACAGCCAGAATAACAGTATTATAAAGTTGATGGTGCCTTTGAATTACTTCACAATGTTCAACTTGTTAGTAAAACAAGTTAAGCACCATTTGGGTTATTAAAAATGATTATGGATCAGGACTTTTGATTCCTGTTTCTTTGACAAAATCATTTCTATTTGATCCCAAGACTTGCCTGCTCTCTTGACAGAATAATGTACATACTGCACAGCTGAAAGGAGTATGGTTTTCATGATTAAATAGGAAGCTCATACCACAGATGACTTTAGACTCCAGATGAGTTTAGACTTTTGCCCTTCAGAAAGATCTCTTTGTTGTTTTAATATTGGATCATCACTTATTTTTCTAATTGTTTCCACTCACACACCGCAGTCTATGTATCACCGAGAACAGGACGTTTATAATTTCATTTTATTCTATTCACATAGTACACCATAGAATGTTCCATCATCTTGTAAGTTCCTTCCCAGATCTCATTGAGCTGGCCAGGGGCGTGTTTGGGAACATAAAAGTTGAAAATACCAAATGAACATTGTCTCCCAAAAGGGTCTATGTTATAGGTCATATAAGAACACACCAAATAAGAATCGGATTGGATTTTGCTTATTAATAGTTAATGCGGAAATAACAATATCTTAGGCAACTACCTTAATTAGGAAAGAGTTCACAATCGTATAGCTTTGATTGACTTTGCCCAGTTTCTCCTACAAAAGGCTCATACCTGTGAACTTACAATACTTATACACCCAAAACAGGCACAGTTATGCCTGTGATTTCTAGCCAGGAACAACTAGCTACCCTAGTGTGGGTAAAGTTATGTAAAAGTGGATTCGCACCAGGAAATGCCCAGGGCTTCCTCCTCCCCACCGCCCCCGCCTGCCCCCCCTCCCCCACCCCACATCACCATTAGGATTAGATTCTGAAATGACAGGACTGGGCCGGGACACTTAGCATCCGGGCCTTGCGTTTCCCAGTCCAGCCAGCTCTATCAAAGGGGGGTGGGGGTTTTCTTTCACCAGCCTGGCCAGGCTGCCCTTATCTAAAAATGCCTTAGTGATTCAAACTGAAGGGGAAGGAAAACCAAACAATAAAAAGCCCGGGATTCGGTCCTCCGCTGCAGTTACAACTGTGGGGAGGAAGGAAAACGAGCGCGCAGGCGCAGCCTCAGGTTGTCAGGTATAAACTTAAGCAGGCGTCTGAATGAAGGAAGTGGATCAGGGTAGGGGTGCTCCTCAGGCTTTTTGTTTGGGCTCTGTTGTTAGTAGGAACTGCACCTTGAATGACTACAAGCCGGAGCGCAGTTACTCCGGAGTGCTTTGAGAAACAGAGAGGTGGACGGAAAATTATTGTTTTCAGTGCAAATGTTAATGCATTACTTAGCGACAAACTCGAGGAACCCCGTCACCCACCGAGACACGGAGAGCTAGGTGACTTCCCCAGGAACGCTATCAAGGGAAGGGGAAGAAAAGAAAGAAAAGAAAAGGCCCTCCACAGGGCCTATAGGAATCATGCCTTCCACGGCGGGGTGGAGTGCAACCTGTCTTATTCCATTCTGAGCCTCTCCGGGGGCTTCCAGGGGCCTAAATGCGTCTGGAAGAAATGGGTGGTGGGCAGCTGTCCCCGCTGCAGGGCGGCGAGTCTCGGCCGGGAGTGGGCGCGTTCGCTAACCTCTGGGACGTCAAACTTACTTTACCAGGACCTCGAAGTTCACCAACCCGGACACGTCCGTCCTCCCTCGGTCTGCGCTCAGGGACAGCCGGTCCTCCCGGCTCCCCGCACACAAAGCCGAGGACCCGGGAGCCCTCCGGGCTGCCAGCCTGCCCCCCCCCACACACACACCCCGCCCGGAACGCTTCCCGGCCGCACTTACCTTGATGCCCTGTTGCTGGGTAGTGAGGGTTAACTTGGATTCATCCAGGAGCAAAACTTCGCAATAAAATTCTTCCGGAACAGCGCAGAAGCAGCCCATGTCGGCTTGCCACCGTCTGCAGCCTGGAGAGAAAGCGGCGACCCAAGCGCCCAGACGCCCCCTCGCCTCACGCACGGAGCATTAATGTCTTATCCGGACCGGAGCCGGAGCCGGGGCGGGAGGACCAGCGAGCGGCTCCCCGTGGGCTCCGGGAAGCGGGCC